AGCAAAATGCCTTAGGTGGGTGGTGGTAAAGAACAAGAATTGATTGTTGCACAGTTCTCAAGGCTGGGCATCTGAAGCAGGGTCTTGGCCACTGTGTCAGTTCCCCCTGGGGTCTCTCCGAGAGGAGCTCTCCAGCATCTGGAAGCTGCTGCCAATCCTGGGTGCCCCTTGGATGCTGACCAGTGATGCTTTCACTTGGTGTCTTTCCTATGTGTGCCCTTGAGACACCATCTATGCTCACTTTTATAAGACAGCACACAGAGGGGCTCAGGATCCACCCCTACTCCTGTGTGACACAAACAGGTAATAACGTGACTACTAATCAGACGGCAGTTGAGTCCACCCAGAGATGCCTCAGGAAATAGGCTTCTGAAAAGTCACAACCTTGACAGCCTTTGGAGCACTTGTGCCGTGCACACGTATGGTCACTGTGTGTCGGAATCAACGGCAAAGAACAATAACGATGGCCACTCCAGCATGGAGTTCCAGGGCACAGTTAAGTCCTCAGCTGCGAACCAAAAGGTTGGCGGTTTGAATTCACACAGAGGTGCCTTGGAGGAAAGGCACAGTTCTTCTCTGACACATGTGGAGTCACTAGGACTTGGAAATAACTTGATGGCCCCTGGTTTGGATTTTGTTCTGTTGTTTTGAGTACTGTTGCATGACCTTGTGACCCTAACTAACAATATCTTCAAAGATTCCTGGGTGGCACAAATGGTTTGCACTTGGCTAGTAACTGAATGGTTGGCGGTTTGATGGAAGAAAGGTCTGGCAATCTACTTCCTTAAGATCACAGCCGGTGAAAACTACATGGAGCAGGTCTACTTTGTGACACATAATGAGGTGGAATCCTCTCAGTAGCAATGGGATATGGCCTTTTAACTAAATATATCTTCAAGGAAAAACAGTCTTCTCAAACAAGGTCATGTTCATAGGTATAGGAGTTAGAACTTCAACGCATCTTTTTGGGAGACACAATTCAACCTGTAATCTGCTTTTTGTGAATTTGCGTTTCACAAGGGCCAATATGTGATGCCTGGGACATGGACACTTGTTCTTTGAGCCCAAAATGCCTGACCCTCCGCCATGTGTCCCATGCTAGGCCTCTATCCCAGCCTCCAGGAGCCCCAGCTGGGAAGGGAGCAAGCCAGACACAGACTCCATTCCCCTATGGGTGAAGGGACAAGGTTAGAAGAGCCACCCACAGGAGCAATTACTGGGGAGCGAGGGGGAGGCTCCAGGGATTAGATGGAAGAAATGCCTCCAAGAAGATACAGAAGCTGGGTGACAGGTAGAAAAAAGGTGGGTCCCCAGCCAGGATGAGGCTCCTCTGGGGGCTGCTGGAGTGGAGTGATAAGGGGAGTGGTCCGCTGCCAGCCCTGCAGCGTCAGTTGTTGTACCTTCTGTTTCCTTGCAGGACCCTGAAAGGGAAGCTGGCTCGACAACACCCCGAAGCCTTCAGTCGTAAGTATCCTGCTGGATCCTGTACCCCAAGTCTGGCCTCTGTGCCTGCAAATGCCAGTTCTGGAGGGTGTCTCAGGGACTCAACACCTGCTGCTGGCCAGTGGCCAGAAACCAAGGACAGGGCAGGGTGACCCTACAGGGTATGATAACAGCCCTTAACCCCATGTGTGCCACCAGGCTGTTAGCACTGAAACTCTCTATGCCATTGATGGGGAACCCGTGGCCCAGAGAGGGGAAAGCAGCTCGTGGAGATGGAGGAAAAGGCAGTGGCAGGACCCAGACTTGTGTGTGTCTGACTTGGAGCCCTCAGGCTCACTCCATGTCACCATCATCTCAGAATACTGAGCCTCCGTTTACCCCATCTACTGCAAGGGTTGTCAGCGCCCAGCTCCAAGGAATAGGGGCTACAGGGACACTGATAGAGCAGAAAACTGAGGTGTGGCAGGTGAGGCAGTTGGCCCAGGTGACACCATCAGGAGGGACACAGCCAGGCCCTCCTAGGGTCCATGTCAACCAGACCTGCCTTCTCGGTTCTCACTTTCAAGGGAGGCATTTCACTTGCCTCAGCCTCGGTTGCCTTCTCTGGGCCAGGGAGTCCCTGGGTGGCACAAAGAGTTCACATGCTCAGATGCTAACAGTCCACCCAGTAACGCCTGGAAGAAAGATTGGTGAGCACCTTCCAAAAACTCACACTGCAAACCTTATAGAGCACAGTTCTACTCAGATGCATGTTGGGGCGCCATTAACCCAAAGGTATCTGGGTTTGTTGTCTTAACTTTGTATTACGAATTAAATTGGGCTTTTAATGTTTGTTAATTTGAGCCAAGTCAGACTCCGAGGGTTGGAGGGGCTGTCAGTGGGCTCACAAACCCAGCAAGACACTCCCTTGGCAAGTGAAGCCCTCAGACTGCTCTTCCTAAGCTGATACCCAACTCTTCCTCTCCTCCAGACATCCCAGAGGCATCCCTCCTGGAGGATGAGGATGAGGACCCCATCCCACCCAGCACCACGACCACCATTGCTACCTCGGAACAGAGCACAGGTTCCTGCGACACTAGCCCTGACCTCATCTCACTCCCCCTCAGCCCCTGCTTTGAGGACCTGTCCCAAGCCCGGCCCTGCTCCCCTACCATCAATGGTCGCGGCCCCACAGATGATGAGGAGGAGACACCGGGCAAGTAAGCCCTGCTGGATTCCTGAGGGTCCTGCCTTTCAGGGCTCCTAGGGGCTGGGTTCCAGGGTTGTGACATGCCTGGGGGTCTCCCCAACCATTCCTCTTAAGAACATCTCTCTTCTGCAGACACCTCCCCCAGTCTGTGGGTGTGCCAGCCCAGCTGGGGTTCTCAGGCTGGGTGAGAGGGGACTTTTCCAGACCTCAGGGCTGCCCCAAACAACCCTTAACAATTCTTAAGAACTGGAGCCAGGCCACCCCCTCCCAGCACCTCTGGTCAGGCCTTCTTGGAGGCAGAGGACCCCTGGCTGCCCCACTAATTCCAGTCCCTCTAACCCATCATCTGACAGCAGTTTCAATACTTTGTTCAGTCGGTATCTTGGGGGCGTTCAAAGACAGGTAGAAGGCTCAAGATGAAGCTGGCTACCCTTGAGGACCCTCGATTGCTCCATCATGCAAACCTCTCCAGGGGCGTCCGTAGGCAAGCTGGGTCCTCTTGGAAAACAGAGTTTCATGGAATATTTTTGTACCCGATGTTTACACATGCTGTTGGGAAGTTATCAATAAAAAGACTCCATTCCTAAAAAGAGAAAGTTGCTCCTGGCAGTGACTTCCTTGGGTCCAGATGGGGGACATAAACTAGGATTGTGGACAACCAGGACTGTGGGAGCAGGAAGACACATGGTTGCGCTTGATGGGGATCTCAGTCTAGGTGGTCACAACAACCCAACCTCTCATCGCCATCTAGGTCTTTGCATGTGCTGTTCCCACTGCTTGAAACATTGTTTCCTCATCTACAGCTCCACAGTCTACTCTGTCAACTGGAACTCAACACTGGGAGGGCATCACGTGCCATTATTGGTGGTGATGGTTAGCTACCATCCAGTAGGCTTAGACTCATAGTCTCATAGATCACCACGGAACGCCTGGCCCTGAGCAGTCCCATGATTAGTTGCAGATTGGAATGTTTTGATGCATAGGCTTTTCAATGGCTCATTTCAGTCTATCTCCCTAGTCCATCTTAGTCTGGAAGCTCTTCTGAAATAGTATTGAGCACCCTAGCAACACTGGCAAATGGGAGGTGGTCTAACTAGAAATGAACCTGGGTCTTCAGGTATCCCAAATGGAAGGCGAGGATTCTACCTACCACGGAACCACCCCATAAGGCATCTGCCCAGACAAGGTGTCTCCTTTTTGCCTGGTTTGTTGTTAAATGCCCTCAAGTCGGTTTTGACTCACAGCAACCCCGTATAGGGTTTCCAAGGAGTGGCTGGTGAGCTTGCCTGGGTTGGTACTCAGAAATATTGAAGGAAATAATGACAGAATTTGCCAGGACCTTTCCCATCCCTGGGCACATTTAAACTGTCCACATCTTTTGAGCTTTATGTCCAAAACAGACCCCGGACACTTAACTGGGTCAATGCACCACCTCATACTTAAGCTCTTGCCGCTTTGAAACCCATCACCCCAGAGTGACAGAAGAAAGTAACTTCAACTGACACCCCTATGGGGTCTTCTGGAAACCTGCACCGTCTCCCCCACAGTTCTCTGTTTAATGCCTTTGCTTTAGCACAAAACACCCTCAAATCTAGTTAACATGCACTCACTGAGCATTATCTATTACCCGGCCAACTTCACTGGGTTGAATCACCCGGCCAACTTCACTGGGTCTCCTCACGTGACCTCAGCGGACCTTGTCGGGAAGCGAGTTAAGCGACGATTGTTGTTGTTGTTAAGTGCCGTCGAGTCGGTTCCGACCCATAGCGACCCTGTACAGGGTTTCCGAGGGTGTAAATCCTTACGGGAGTAGAAAGCCTCATCTTTCTCCCGCGGAGCGGCTGGTAGTTTCAAACCGCTGACCTTTAGGTTTGCAGCCCGATTCGTAACCACTACGTTACCAGAGCTCCTTAAGCGACGATTACCCTCACTCATTACGGCTTCGCTCGCCCACACTCAACATGGCGGCGACGCTGAGGCGGGGGCGGGGCCCGGCGGGTAGCGTAGTGGTTACGACTCGGGCTGTGAACCGCAAGGTCAGCAGTTTGAAACTACCAGCTTCTCCGCGGGAGAAAGATGAGGCTTTCTACTCCCGTAAAGATTTACACCCTCGGAAACCCTGTACAGGGTCGCTATGAGTCGGTTCCGACTCCACGGCACATAACAACAACAACAACAACGTTACCAGAGCTCCTTAAGCGACGATTACCCTCACTCATTACGGCTTCGCTCGCCCACACTCAACATGGCGGCGACGCTGAGGCGGGGGCGGGGCCCGGCGTGCTTCGCGTATTGTGACGTCAGCGCGCAGCATGCTGGGTGTGCAGGCGGTTTCCGGTTCCGCCGCCCTCTTTCTCTTCCGCAAGGCGGCCAAGCGGGTAAGTGGCGTCTGTTGTAGGAGTCTGCGCCGAGTCAGAGGCCGAGCGTGGTCCTCGGGGGATTGTGGAGATCCGTCAGGGATGGGAGGCCGAAACAGGCACGCAGGGTCTGCTGCGCGGGGTGGACTTAGCGGGAAAGGCTGGTCTGGCGCGTGGGGCCACGTCTCCGAGCCGGGCGGGGCCGCTGGGGCCGAGCGGCGTTTTGGAATCAGGGCCTGCTCAGTCTGCAGTCCCTAGTGACTCCACGAGGCTTGGGGGAGCAGATGAGTCCTCCCGGACAGGTCAGGGTAAAGGCAAGATGGGTAGTAGAGCGCGTAGCGTGTTTCCCTCACAGCTATCTCGGAAGAAGGATATGGTGATCTGCTCCCGAAAGGTTACAGCCATAAAAATCCTACGGAGTACACACATAAGTTTTGCCATGAGTTATTTACCCCAGGCAAAATAGCCTTTCTCTGTGTCTAACACTGCACCCTTCCGTTTCTGTGTTTAAAGAACGAAGAGATAATCTGTAAAACCAGTGTTGGGCACGTGGTTGGCAGATACACATTGGTACCAACCCAAACACACTGCCATCGAGTCGATTCCGACTCATAGCGAACCTATGTTGTGAAGTACTGTTGGTTCCTTGTAAAGGGTTTCCAAGGAGGTTCAAACCGATCTTATGGTTGAGTACTTAAACCTTACAACGCCACAAAATCTGCTCCGTAGAATTTCCCAAAGGAAAAATAAAGGAAGTTTAAAAAGAGAGTAAACCTCATCTTTCTCCTGCTAACCGCTGATGGGTTTGAATTGCCAACCTTTTGATGAGTAGCTCAGTGCTTAACCCATAGCACCTCCAGGGCTCTTTACTTGGGGTGGGGGGGCACGGGGTTCTGACTCTGACTCACAGCTACTTTGTATAGAGTATCCGAGGAGTGAGTGACTGGTGAGTTTGAACTGCCCACTTTGTGGTCTGAACAGACCTTGTAGTCCAGTGCTTATCCCACAGCGCCACATCAGGACTCCTTGCTTTGTTGTTGTTGTTGGGTGCCATCGAGTCAGTAGACTCATAGCGACCCTATGTACAACAGAACGAAACACTGCCCAGTCCTGGTCCAATCTCACAATTGTTGCCATGTTTGAGCCGATTGATGCTGCCACTGTCAAGCCATCTCACTGGGGGTCTTCCTCCTTTTCTTTGACCCTCCACCTTAGCAAACATAATATCCTTCTCCAGCCACTGGTCCCTTCTGACAGTATGTTCCAAGTATGAGAGATAAAGGGGGTAGCCATTATTTATGGGCTAAGGGAGAGGGCATCTGGATATAACCGAGAAGGAAATGAGTGTGTTGATTGGTCCAGCTTGGAATCTGAGTGGGGAGAAGAGAGGCTACAGAGGAGTTGTATGTGGTGGCTATTCTGTTCCCATCCTGGCCAGTAGGACAGGCAGCTTGTGGCCAGAGGTTATCTGATAGCTGAGGCTTAAAAGCATGGTCAGCCAGCCAGTGCCCTGGTGGACTTCGTATTCAATCAACAAACACAGAGTCAGTCCCTCTTGAGCTGCTGGGCTCAAGCTTTGTAAACATAAAACTTCATTGCCCCATGAAGCTCACCTCAGGCTTCCAGGTACAGGGTAAAGGGAGCATCATCATCGTTAGTCATAGGGTACATTTTAGGCGGCATGCAGTCCAGGGTGTGACAAGACTAACAGAATGGTTAGTTTGAGGGGTTGGCTTTGCAGTTGGGGTCTCTAGGCTCAGGGCTGCTCAGAGCTTCCCCTCTCACTAACCTGCCCCACTCCACAGCAGACGCAGAGATGCAGATCTTTGTGAAGACCCTGACGGGCAAGACCATCACTCTTGAGGTGGAGCCCAGCGACACCATCGAGAATGTCAAAGCCAAAATCCAAGACAAGGAGGGTAAGTGAGACTAGATCATTTGACCACTATCTAGTGGAATGAGCGCTAGACTTCAAGTCCCAGCTTTGCTCACCCCACCCAGTATACAGTCAGGACAAAGGGCTGTTTTCCCTATGCCTCTCTGGAACTGAGCAAATCCTTGGTAACATTCTCTTTCCGTCTCCACAGGTATCCCCCCTGACCAGCAACGTCTGATTTTTGCGGGTAAACAGCTGGAGGATGGCCGCACTCTCTCAGACTACAACATCCAGAAAGGTACTGTGGGGCTGAATGGGGCTCTCTGAGGCCAGGGACTATGCAGTGTTGTGGGGGAGGAGGGACATCCTGTTGTTCAATGTATATACAACATGATTGGCAGTTGAGTGTTTTTTTAGACATGTATAGTTCAGTGACATCACTTTTACATGAATTATGTCATACAACCATCACCAATGTCTGTTGCTTATTTCTGTCACCATAAGCTGAAACTCCTATTAATGGAACAATAGGCCCTTCTCTCTCCTTCTTTCTCCAGCCCTTGGTCACCACTCATCAACTTTGGTTGATAGTTTTAGCTATTTCAATAGCTAGGATTCACACCATATTTGTCTTTTTGTAACCTGACTCAACATGCTATTTACCATTTCATCCATGTTGTGGCATGCATTAGGGTGTTTTTTTTTTTTTTCTCTTGTGAGATTGTTTTCCAGACAGGTGATTACCCCATTTTACATTCCCACCACAATGGATAAGGTTGCAGTTTCTCCACATTCTTGTCAACATTGATTTTCTGAATGGCCTTTTGTTGCCTTAAACATGGGTGGGGTGAGGTGGTATGTCGTGTGGTTTTACACTTCTTTCAGGGCTAGTGCATCTTCCCTACTACTTGGTCATTTATATTTCTTTGGTGAGCTCATGTTAAAAAACCCAGAGGGGCACCTGGCTGACACGTGAGCCTCAGACTCTCCATGGCGTGTGCCTGCTGCAGTGGTGGGCCAGTAGGGATGGTGGGGCAGAGCTGGGCTCCGATCTCAGCTTCTTTCCCTTGCTGATTCTTGTGTCCATCCTCCTGCAGAGTCCACCCTGCACCTGGTGCTGCGTCTGCGTGGTGGCATTATCGAGCCTTCCCTGCGCCAGCTTGCCCAGAAGTACAACTGTGACAAGATGATCTGCCGCAAGTATGTGCCCATTCACAGGCTAGACTGCCTAGGGCAAGGGAGCGAGCCAGAATACTGACAACACCCCGTGCGATTACTGTGTGGTGTGGTGTTTGGCTCACACGCACCCCCACATCCCTGTCCCCATACAGGTGCTACGCTCGCCTCCACCCCCGTGCTGTGAACTGCCGCAAGAAGAAGTGCGGCCACACCAACAATCTGCGCCCCAAGAAGAAGGTTAAATAATAAGGAGTCCTCTCTGCTGGCTCCCCTGCCTCCCGCTAGTGAGGTTCTTCTGAGCCCCGTGGCCCTGGGCCCTCAATAAAGTTTCACTTTCATTGAACCGAAGCAGTAATTGGTGTCTGTGACTGATCTGTTTTTGGGAGGAAGATAGCCAAGGTGGAGCATCTTCATTCAATTCTGCCAGATCAAATAACTTCTAATTTCTGGTCTCCTCATCCATGAACAGGCCGTGGGCCTTGCCCTTTTCCTCTGACAGGTTGTTTTTTATCATAAGATAAACTAGATGGTCTCCCTGCCATTTAGTTACTCCCTGAACCTGATTTTCATCTGGAATGTGAGGATACAGCCCCCTGCCTAGGATTGGCTGGGAAATGGTAAGATCTATCTTGGGTACTATGGTATATTGTAGAACATAATGGATTTCAAAAAGTTTGTGTAAGAATGGAACTTGTCCACAAATTTAAAAAACCCCTTTGTATGTTATAATAATATGGTGTGGCGCTATGGGCTAATTAGTCAGACTGTAAAGTTGTTTGGACTACAAGGTTGGTTCAAGCTCACTAGCTGCTCCTTGGAAACCTTATACAGGGGTGCTATGGGTCAGAATCAACTCCGTGGGTTGCTAGAATGAGTAGATCTGACGGGAGGTGGTCTAGCCAGAATAGAAATCAGTATGGCAAGATTTCCTCTTGCCCACTAGAGACACTTAAGGAGGAACCAACACTTGGAGAAGAACATCATGCTTGTTAGTAGAGGGTCAGCAAAAATCAAGGCAAGTATTGGTATAGCAGATTGGCATAATGCCTACATTAAATGGTCCTGAGGATGGTGAGGATGGCACAGGATCTGGCCAAGCTTTGTGTGTCATGAGACTAATCAAGTGCTATTGAATTGGTCCCGATTCATAGCAACCCTGTATAGGATTTCTGAGGCTTGAACGGTCAGCCTTAAGGTTCAAAGTCCTGTGCTGATCCTTACAGCGTCACACCAAGAACAATGGGACCTTAGAAACAAGCCACCTTCAGATGTACATTGTGCCTGGTCACTTGACCCCAGGTTGATGACATCACCCAGGGACAGGTCTGGGTGATAAAGCTTGAAGTGAGGTCAGGTGAGGGACATGCTTCTCAATTGACCATTGTCTTGATACAAACGCCTTTCTTAGGGCCTGATACCTGAGACACTCTTTCTGGAGGCTTGCTGAAGGCTGCTGTTGCAGTCACCCCCACATCAGCTAGTCAGGCTCCCATCTGTGTCCATTGCTCCCAGTCACCATGCCCTCCAGCTCCACTCAGGCCCTGAAAGGAAGCTCTGGGTCACCAAGCTCATAGCACAGTACTGAAGATGAGTTCCTGCCACTGAGTTGGGCACCTCAGCTTGGTTCTAGCCTGCTTTCCAGCTCCTTTACAGGGGCTCTGGCAGTGTGGTTATGAATCGGGCTGCAAACCTGAAGGCCAGCAGTTCGAAACTACCAGCCGTTCTGTGGGAGAAAGATGAGGCTTTCTGCTCCCGTAAAGATTTACAGCCTCGGAAACCCTGTACAGGGTCGCTATGGGTCGGAACCAACTTGAAGGCACTTAACAACAACAACCTCATGCGCCACTTTCTTAATTTTGAGGCAGTGCATTAACTAAGTGGCAGCATTGATGGGTTCAAGCATGGCAACAATAGTGAGGTTGGCCCAGCATCGGGCAGTGTTTAGTTCTGCTGTGCTTAGAGTCGCTATGAGTTGGTACCGACTCGATGGCACCTAACAACATTGAGGATAAAGCTCTGGAAGTGCTTAGTGGGTTTTCTGATAAACATGCTTATAAGACAAGCAGAGGGCTAGGAGGGCTGTGCTTTCAAGAACACCAATGGCAGGACAATATCATTGATATCCCATCAAAGTTTTACGAGACGTACAGAAACTGCTGCAACCACACATTGACAAAGAACTAACAGGTTTAAGCCAGTTTCAGAAGATGGACATGGTAGAGGGCTATCATTGCTGATGTCGGATCTTGGCTGAAAGCAGTGAATAGCAGAAGTTTGTTACGTGCCGTCAAGTCAATTCCAACTTGTACAGATCTTGTGTAGGATTGAACCACTGACCTTGCAGTTCAAACGACTACAGTGTGATGCATTAGGCCACAGTGCCACACTAGGACTCCAGAGAGATATTTAGTTGTGCTTTATTCACTATGCAAAGGCCTTCGATTGTGTGGATCATGACAAGCTATGGACAACATTGTGAAGTACAAGCATTCCGAACATTAATTGTACTCATCAGGAATCTGTACATGGGCGAAGAGGCAGTTGTTCAAACAGAACATGGGAACACCAAATGGTTTTAAATGAGAAAAGTTGTGTGTCAGGGTTGTATTCTTTCACCATACTTATTCAATCTTTATGCTGAACAAATAATCAGAGAAACTGGATTATATGAAGAAAAATATGGCATCAGGAATGGAGGAAGGTTTATCATCAACCTGCAATATGCAGATGATACAACCTTACTTGCTGAAAGCCAAGAGGACTTTAAATGCTTATTGATTCAGATCAAAGACCACAGTCTTTGGTATGGGTTGTACCTCAATATAAATAAAACAAAAATCTTCACCACTTGACCAATAAATGACATCCACATAAATGGAGGAAAGATTGAAGTTATCAATGGCTTCATTTTGTTTGGATCAACCACCATCAACACTCATGGAAGCAGCAATCAAATAAAAGACGTTTTGCATTGGGCAAATCTGCTGTACAAGACCTCTTTAAAGTATTGACGAGCAAAGATTTCAGTTTGAGGACTAAGGTGTGTCTGACCCAAGCCATTGTATTTTCAATAACCTCATATACATGTGAAAGTTGCATAGTGAATAAGGAAGACCGCAGAAGAATTGATGCTTTGAGTTATGGTGTTGGAGGAGAATATTGAAAATACCATGCACTGCCAAAAGAACCAACAGATATGTGTTGAAGGTATTCCTTGGAAGCCAGGATGGCCAGACTTGTCTTTCATACTTCGGATATATTGTCAGGAGCCACATAATGCTCGGTAAAGTTGAGGGTTAGAGAAAAAGAGGAAGACCCCCAAGAGGATGGATTGGCACAGTGGCAGCATCAATGGGCTCAAACGTAACAGTGATTATGAGGTTGGCCCAGGATCTGGCAGTGTTTCGTTCTGTTGTGCACAGGTGGGTTGCTATGAGTCGGAATGGATTCTATGGCACCTAATAACCATAATGCCAGGACAGCGGACTCAGGCCCGATGAGCAAGCAAATCTGTCTTGAGTCCTCCGGGCCAGTAGGGGGCGTAGAGCATAGCAAAGCGGGCTTGGTCGGCAGCGGGCTCGGCCTGGCAGTCATGATCACGGCCGAAGAGGCCGCTTCGGATCTCGGAACCTTGGGCCCAGTGACTCTGGCTTGGCCCTGGGTGAGAGCAGGCCCGGGCTATGGGTAACTGGGTGGGTGGGAGGGGTAGGACGGGGGCGCCGGTCTCACGTTCGGGCTGTGCCGCCCCACTCACAGAAAGGTGCCCCGGTCCACGCGCTGGTACAGCGGATCCACCAGCTCCAAGCTGAGCGCGCGCAGGCTTTCCGCCGGCTGGAGGAGTGAGTGCGCCCGGTGGGTGGGATACAGATGCCCAGGGTCCTCATGCATTTTGCAGCCACAGTGGGACAGGGTCAGCTTGGGGCCAGATCCGTATCTGCTCGCGGGTGCGTAGGGCGCGCCCCCACTCCCTGATACCCCTCAGCCCGACTTTCCCCCCCTTCCTAATGTGAAGAGGTGTGCCATAGTCTCTGGGGTGCTGAGACTCCCCGTGGAGGCCCCATTTCTAAGGTGGAGGGGCATGCTTGTCTTGGGTATTCCTGCGGGGCCAGAATCTTCGGGGTGCTGGGACTCCCTGTCAGGACTCCAAGGTGGTAACGCAGACTTAGCGCCTGGGGACATGGCCTCGGTACCCTCACCTGTCGCAGAGCCCACCGCCAGTACGTGCTCAGCGGCCCGCACTATGACTTCCTGCGCTACCGGGACTCGGTGCACGAGGTGACCCAGGCCTTCGCCGCCGCCTCGCGGGAGGTCCTGGCTCTGGAAGCCGAGCTGGCTGGGCCCTGCGCGCAGCCGCTGCTTGCGGGCCACGTGCGCGCCCTGCAAAAGCTGGAGCAGACTCGTCTGGCCACGGTGAGCAGTGGTCAACCCCGACTCTTCCCCTAACATGCCCTGGGGTTCTCAGGACCAAGCTCCCAATTTCAGTTGGTGTTTCGTCGGAGTCCCAGGTCAAGCCCACTCTGTCCCAGCCCCCAATTCCCAACCTCGGTGCTCTAGGATGTCCTGACCCAGCCCAATTTCTCATCCACGCCTCTCCGGAGCAATCCCAATCCCAGCCTAGGTTCTGGGTTTACACCACCCTGGGATTATAAAATTCCTCCCCCAGAGAATTCCAGGATCCACCTACTCTACCTCCACCACCAATCACTGGCCGAGGCTTTTTTTTTTCCCTCAGCCCTGCCTACTTGGCCCCCACTCTCCGGAGGATACCCCTCCCACACAAAGCTCCACCCCTCTCGAGCCCCACTGGTGGCCCCACTCACCCTGTCTGCCTGTACTGCTTTGTTTAGGGAAGAAGGCAGCCCGGGACGGCCTACACTCACTGTGACTCTCCTATTACCTTCCTAGGTGGCCCTGCTGCAGCTAATGGGGGCACCGGAGCTGAGGGAGCAGGAGGATGTTTCCCAGATGCACCAACTAAAGATGAAGTGAGCAGTTCCCCCAGCAAGGCGTTTGTTAAATTTGCAGGGCACATTTAGCCTCTCAGGAGTCCTGGTGGCAGTGGTGAAAAACTGCTAACTGAATATGGTGGGCAGTTAGGAGAAAAGATGTGGCAGATAACAATCTGCTATGTAAAGATTACAACCTTGGAAACTATGAAACAGTTCTGCCCTGACCTCAAGTACCGTGGAGTCGGTTCCGACTCATAGTGACCCTGTACAGGGTTTCTGAGGCTGTAAATCTATAGGGGAGCAGAAAGCCTCATCTTTCTCCCGTGGAAGTTCCCAGTTGCCGACCTTGCGGTTAGCAGCCCGATTCATATGCACTAAGCTACCAGAGCTCCCTAGGGTCACTACGACTTAACAGCAATGGCTTGGTTTGGTTTCCAGTTCCCACCCGGCTCAAGGGTACCTAGAGCTGACCCTGCCAGAACTCCAAGAATTCACCTAGTGACTCTCAGCTCTCAGACACACACAAACTCACACTCACTTCCAAGCACACACTCTGCACATTCACATCTATCTGCACCCTGGCACCCCAGTTGAACACAGCTGCCCAGGCACCACATCACCATACATGCTTCTACATAGTCTTCCAAATATGTATGCGCACACACTCTACACCATAATCATCCTGCTTAGATAGGGAACCTCCCAAGCACACATATACACACACAGTCCATACCGTCATCACCCTGTGTACACACTTGCACACCCACCCCTCAGGCCAGCCCAGTGCTGGTGGTGCCTGGAGGTTGGGCGGTGGGCAGGAGAGCCCGGGGCTTGCCACAACCCCCTTGGCTGTGCAGCAGCAGCTAATTCACCCCATCTGGGTTTTATTTATAGTTCGCATCCGCTCTTGTAGGGTAATTAAAACCATGGAGGCAATCAGCGAGGTTCTCCAGGACATCAGGTTTGATGCGGAGTCTGTGGAGTGATCGGGCTCCCGAGAGACGCACCGAGGGAGATGGGAAACACCATGAATGGCGCCCGGCCCAGCCGCCAGCTGACCGGGTAGTGCCCCACTGGGCTGTTGACCACCCTCCCAAATAAAGACTCTTCTGTGTGCAACTGCTCTGTGTGTCCTGAGGTGCTGGGTCGAGCATGTCGGGAAGGAGGCTCTATGGGACCTGGAATGGCTGATGGAAGCTGTCCACCCATCCCTGATTTCTGAAAAACCACTAAGGTTTTTAGAATTTCAGAGCTTAAAGTTCTGGGGGTGGAGGCTCCTTCCCCAAAGGGTCATGAGGACTACTCTTGCCTGTCCAAAGCTTTGCTACTCCTAACCCCACCCAAACCCAAAGTCACCTGCACAACCAGCTTCTAATTAACCCATTTATTTAGAAAGACACTTTGGCAGGATCCTAGGTCAGGGGGAGTCATGGCCTGCTTCACTCAAGCCCTGGCAGTTTCAGACAGCCCACCCTGGCCTGCACCCCCATACTGGGATGCTCCAGGGTGGCCTCCAGAGGAGCACAAGCTGTTTTGGTCGTTTTTGCTCCCAAAATGGGTGTTCCTGGCTCCCCAGGATCTTGGGTGGGATGGCAGCCCAGCCCTAGAGTTTATCTGGCAGTACCTGTGAGCAGAGAAGGCAGGGGCTGAGCACCTTTGAGCAGTACAGCAGATCCTAATCATTGCCTGACCCTACACTCAGGTGTGTGACTGGGCAGTGTGCCCCTCCACAGGCCTTGGTTTCCAAATCTGATAAATAGGACTCTACCCCCCTCACCTGGTGTTCTGTAGGTAAATAACAGGCATGCAGTAGGCACTCATACATGCTAATTACAAGGAACATGAAGGAATATGTAGTTATCATTCATTCATTCTTGAGACGGGGTCAAGGGACGAGATTCTCCCTCTGGTAGGGTTTGGATGTTATTTTTAGGGTAAAGGTCACAGTCCTGGGCAAACAGTGGGTGGTTAAGTGCTGATGAATAAAATACTAAAGGAGGAAAGCTATCTCAAAAATTCTTAAAGCCAGGACCACCTTCCTTACCTCTCGCCGAGCCCCGTCTGCCCGAGGGCAGGATCCCCGCGTCCTGTGCTTGGAAGGAAAGCAGAGGTGTGGTGGGATCTGCGGGCTAACCGCCCTTGTACCACCTCTTTTCCCGTCCCCGGACCCCCCTTCCTTCCCACTCCCGCCTTACCTGGTTGCGCGTCTTGTGCGACTTCTGCATCCAGGCGCGCCACTGGTCGTAGAGGCGGAAGCTGAGGTTCGAGCAGTACGCGTGCTTCTTGAGCCATCCCAGGAACTGCTTGAGCTCGCGCCGCACCGGGCCCGAGCTCGGCTCGCCGCCCCGAGGCTCGCACGCCCCACCGCCAGGGCCCGGTCTCTCTAAGGGAGGGTGCAGCGTCGGGGCACGGCCGGCAGGGGGCGCGCGCAGGGCAGGAGGGGGCCGGTGTGGCGGCCCTAGTGCCCCTCGGTCACCTCCCTCCCTATGTCTCCGGGACCTGGTCCTCCCCTCAGTTCTGCTGGGCGGTCCAGCTGAGCCCCGGCCCGCCCGCCCCTAGGGAGGTGGAGGCAGGGGAGGAAGGGGCTCCTCCTACACTTGTCCAGGAACAGAATTCCTGTGGCTTGAGCCAGGTGTGCATGGAAGGGATGGGAGGGGCGGGTCCGGAGCAGGGGAGGAGATGATAGTTTGACAGAGAAGGGGGCAGATGGGACTGAGATGAGAGCCCTGAGGAAACCAGGCTGGAAGACAGAGAAGGAGAAAGTAAAGAGAGCTAAGGAGCAAGGGTAGGGACACGAAAGAGAGACAAAGGGGCACAGGGCTATGTAGGGTTCTCAAGACCAGCATAGGCAGAAAGACAGACACGGGGTAAGAGATAAGAGACAGAGATGGGGATAAAGATAGAGAGGGATACAGACGAATAGGGCAGAAGAACAAGAGAGACAAGATGGAAAAAGACAGGGGGGCAGAGAAGGGAGGAGGAACCCTGTGGGCTGGTCCCCAGGTGGGCTAGGCGCACCAGCGGCTGGGTTATGGGTTAGGAGGAGAGGGCAAAAGGGCCAGGTGGAAGGCCGGCCCTTTGGTCTAGTGGCGAGCCACAGGCAGCCCGGCGGATAAGGACATCGGCCTCACATCATAAATAAAGCCGGGAACCCGCTGACAGGCCCTGGCACGGCCCCGGCCCCCGCCGCCCCCGCCAGCCTCCCCGGCCTCCCCGCGGACGCAGCGCCTGCTGGCTCCCGCGCAAGAATCGCAGGTGCTGGGCACGAGCAAGGCCAAGGCTCAGGCCCCTCCCGGCGCTGCTCCGCCCACCCCGACCTGGAGGGGCCCGGGCTGGGGCTGGGAGCTGGATGGAGCAGACGCCGCCCTCCCTGGCTCTGGAGCCTCTTTGGGCCTTGGTTTCCCCATAAGTCCATGAGGGTGGGCCTGGATTCCCAAGGATCTGAGCTCAGATCAGGGAGAGAGGGAGATGCAGGCCCCCCTTGTAGGCCCATTGAGAAAAGGGCCTTTCAGTGGTGAAATGGGGAGGTGGAAACCCAGGCTTTCCCCCACCCCCACTTTTAAAGTGCTTTCTCACACCCATGCTGGTGTGATTATGATCCCCATTGTCCAGATGAGGAAATTGAGGCCAGAGTTGCCCAAATAACAAGTTATTACTCATAACTGCCCCAATCTATAGAGAGCACAGGGTCCACAGGCTTAGGGCAGCAAGGGGAACTGGACCCAGGCCCCTAATCATTCCCATTTCTTTTTTTGATCAATGAGGAAATGAGATCCATCCTAAGAGCTAGCATGAGCTAGGCCTTGGAAGCAGGGGTCTCAAACTTGCTTGCCTTTGCTGCCATCAAGTTGATTCTGGCTTATGGTGACGCTATGTGTTACAGAATATAAAACTGCCCTCACGGGGTTTTTGTAGTGATTATCTTTATGGCAGCAGATTGCTAGGTCTCTCTTCCATAGTAATATGGGTGGATTTGAACTGCCAACCTTTAGGGACTTGGACTACCCAGGGACCTAGGAGAGTGGCCAACTGGGTGTGGGACAGATAGAGACTGAAGGCCCCATCCGTAGGGACAGTTTTGAGGCAACCATGACCGTCTCGTTACTAATTACCTAGAGAATCAATTGTTCTAGAGGATCCTGTTTTTAGACATCTGGGAACAGGAAATTAAAAAAAAAAAAAAAAATTTAATGCTGGCCAAAGAAAGTAGACTGAGGATGGACCACCTACATTTGACCCTGGAGCCACCAGTTTGAAACCCCCTGCTCTTATTAAGGAATCATGGAAAGAGAGTAAGGGGCACTCTTGTTTTGACTGGTCTTCTGACCACTCAGGCCCATTGGGGGCTGCTCACCACTTCGGGGGGTAGATGCAGCTGTGGGGTGGCTCCATTCACTCCAGATCCCAGCCTTCTTGGAGCCATAGATGCCAAAAGGGTTGCAGCGGACTTGCACGAAGTACACAGTGCCTGGTTTCAGGCCCGCCAGGCGGCAAGAGGTCTGGTTGCTGACATCATCCACCACCTGGGCAGGTTGGGCATGGTCAGAGCCTGGTGCTGGGGATCAGGGTGGACTAACAGGTGGGTGGGTGGACAAGCACCTTCCAATCTACACTGTCCTCCACACGATATCGGATCTGGTACTTGGCTTGGAACAGGAAGTCCTTGAGGGCAGGTGGCGAGACCCATCGAACACTGAGCTGGTCTTCCAGGCCCCCAACGCGGCTCACATGCACATCGGGAGGGGGGTCTGTGGTTACTAAAGAATAGGGCACATGGGGTCACTAGCTTGGACTCTCTTCAAACCAGCTGGCCCTTGACCAACAGCCTAGAACTGAGTTCCAACCCTAGAGCCTCTTGGCTCAAGGCAGGTGACTTCGTGTGACCTGCCTCCATTTCCACCCACCCTCGGGACTGAGGTGTGGATTCCACGAGCCAAACTCCGAAACCACTCATCACCCAGAAGCGCTCAATTAATGTTTGCTGTTATCAGCATTATTATCTGTGAAGGTAGAAACATGATCCCAGCTTTGAGTGACTACCACGGCCCCTGATAATCTTATTCCAATTATGTTCATACCCAGGAGGCCAATTCAGGCCTTCAACCCTCCCCCCCACCACTTCCAGTCCTTCCCATTTTATTTAGAGGATGACTAAGCCCCATCCCACCCCATGTGACAGTAGAATGCAGAGGGACAATAGAATCTTAGGGTTCACCGACTGCAAATTCAGGAGGTAAATTAACAGAAGGTAGGCTGGGAGACCTTGCAAGCCCTGAGGAACTCCAGGGATCCTCCTGGGGGGTCCCGTGGGCAGCAGGACATACCGCCTTCTCCCCCTGAGGCCTCTGTGAGGGGCTGAAAGGGTTAAGGCGCAGGCCTGCTTGGGGCTGAGAAACATCCTAATTAGATTAGGCCCAATTCTGCTCGCAGATCAGCCATTTCCTGCCTTCCGCCCTCACCCCCCAGCTCCAGGCCCCGGCTTCCTGGGGCGCCTCCCGACCTGGGCGCCCCCTCCCCACTCCCCCGGGTCCCCTCCTGCACACCTGGGCCACTGAGTGGGAGGCAGCCCAGTCAGGTGTTCTGCAAGGATTGGGGGATGTAGATGGATGGGGGACACCCAGTATCACCCTACCACCACCCAAGATGTAGCCCCCTAAAAAAACAAAAAAGATGTAGCCCCCTTCCATCTGTGATGGGCTGGGTATCACTGGGGCCTCACCCACATCCAGAATGTCCAGAGTGAGCACGTCAGAGCGAGAGGAGCCCAGGCGGTTGGTGGCCTCCACCCAGATCTCATAGGGTGTGAAGAGGGCCAGGTCCTTGGGGATGTGGCAGGAGTGGGGCCCCATGGTGTGGTACTCTTCACAAGTATTGTCCTGGCCGTACCACCTATGGGCAGGCAGGCAGACAGTGAGGGTCCCTGCCAGCCCATGCCCCTCCTGCAGAGAGCAGGGCCCTGCTGCAGAGCCAAGTGAGAACATGCTCTCCTGCCAGCCCTACCCACCTCAGTTTGTACTTGAGGGAATAGTTGGTGTGCAGGAAAGTCTCTCCAGGCGCCCCAGGTGTCCAGCGGCACGTCAGGTCCTTCATGTTCTTGGACCAGCAGCTGATGTTGAAGGGTTTCTCCGGGGGCACTGAGGGGGGGCAGGGCTGAGGGGGGCCGCAGCCAGGAGTGGGAAGGGGAGGCAGGGCAGTCTTGGCCCCATCCTCAGAGGTGACTGCTAATGTTGGCATGGTCACTTGCTCTCATTCCTGGACTATAGCGTTGTCCACTGTGTAGTGTAGCCTCGACCAGCACACCCATCATTCAGTCCAACCTCTGCTAATTCACCTACACTCAACATCGGGCCAGAGTGCCCACCCTGCAGTTTAGCCCCCACCAGCATGTCCACCCTTCGGCCTCTGCCAATGCACCCATCATTCAACCCCAGACCAGAGGAGTCCCTGACTCATGCCCTCTCTAGAGGGAGCAGCTCCCAGAGTTCCCCCGGGGTATGCAGGACCCACTTACGGCCAACATAAAGGCAGGAGCCAGCCAGGATGCTGCCATCTCGGGCGTGACACACCAGGTTGTCTCCTGACTGTTGCCTGGACCCGTTGAGGTTGGCCAGGGCAAGGGCCAAGGTTGAGGCATTAAGCACTCGGGAGAGCTCAGCAGGCAGGCGGCGCCCATTGAGGGTCCAGTAGAGGCCATCAGCAGTGGCCCCTGGTAGGTCCCCCAACACTGAGCAGGTGGCCTGCAGGGAGGAGCCGATGAGGAGCGTGGGGTCCTGGGGACTGATCACGGCCGTGTCTGGGGTCAAAGAGGAGCGGTGGTCAGATCTGGGGACCTCCTGCCATGCTGGGTTGGCTGAAGCTCCTGCTTACAGATGGGGAAACTGAGGCTCAATTAAGTGACCAGCCCAAAGTTGTCAGTGAGGTTGCAATTCGAGCTCAGGTCTGCCTGAGTTGGCCTATATCCAGTCCTCCTTGGAGTTCATCACTGACTTGATGAGTGCACACTGCTCTTCTCCCCCCCTCTCTCCGCCTCTCTCACTCTTTATTTTGGCAATTAGAAACAAGATTATGAGTTCACTTAGTGAACCCTGGAGACTTACTCATAGTAGGTGCTTCAATCAGGGGAACCTAACGTAATTACTTGCCGTTGAGTCAATTCCAACTCATGGTGGCCACATGTGTAGAGAGTAGAACCGCTCCATCGGGCTCTCAAGGCTTTGATCTTTTGAAGTCAAATTGCTAGATCTTTCTTCCATGGTGCCACTGGATGGGTTTGAACTGCCAATTTTTTCTGTTAGCAGCCAATTTTTAACCATTTGTGCCAGCCAGTGGCTACTCTATGCAGGGAAGGAACCTGATCCCAGGAGATGATTAACCAGTTGCCTTAGTATGAACTCCAATTTAAGGCAACCCCATGTGCATCAGAACAGAACTGTACTCCAGTGTTTTCAATGACAGATATTTCACAAGTAGATTGCCAAGGCTTTCTTTCAAGGTGCTTTTGGGTGAAGTCACACTACCAACTTTTTGGTTAGCAGCCAAGGGCATTCACAATCTTTGCTGCCCAGAGTCCATATGAATCATTGAATGCACTGTTAATTGAGCACTTCCTGTGTCCAGAATGTTGTACTAAGACTTGACCTATCTTTTCCCATTGAATTCTGCCTATTTTATGGATGACAAAACTGAGGCTCAAAGAGCTCATGTCACTGTCCCAGGGTCCCAGAATATAGGGCGGGCACACAATGTAAATTCATATATGCATTGTACTCCAAAGTTCTGCTCTGCACTGCAGCCGGTACTGAAGGTGTCTGGGAGGCTTGTCAAGCTCTGCATCCCCCAATCCCTTCTGGAAGGGGATTTGTGTTTTCATTCTTCCTAATCTGCAAAATGGGAATGAGAATGCTCTCTATCCCCATGGCCATGGGGAAGATCAGATGGTAAGGGACTTCTGGGATGAACCCTAGCTGTGGGGATCACCAGGGATGCCTGTGATTGATCCACCGATTTTGCTTGTCATTAAGGAAGCATAGACCTTCCTCCTCTTTTTATGTTTCTCCACTGGGAACCTAAGAGGAACACTTTTTATTGTGAACTGAGTGATAGTTTACATGGGAGAACATCGGCTTTATGCCACCGTTTCATTGCGATGATTAAAATCTCCTCCATGCATCATCATTCAACAGTATTTGCTTCCATTCCCCGTTTTGTTTTATTTTGGGTGTGTGTGTGTACACAAAAACACTCAGGAATATATCATAATTTACACAACCAAAAGGCACATTCTACAAACCTGCCTCCTGGCCTCCAGCACTCACACTCAGTCCCTCTCTTTCCATGAGTCTAGAGTCCTCAGCTGCCCTATCTCCATGGAGGAACCCATTTTACACACAAGGAAACTGAGGCCAAAGAAAAGGGAGAGGATGTATAAACTAGGCTACTAACTTTTGTTTGCTGGAAGTCCCATGAGGGACACCAGATGCCTGTCACCACTGCAAACGTGACTAGTGCCTCTTTGAGCCTCAGTTTCCCCACTTGGGAAGTGGGCATTATGGTACCACCCATGAGAGATTGTTTGAGAGGAGTGAAGGATCGTGCATGAGACCTTTGAACCAGGGTGACCTGGGTTTGAATGCCCCTACATACTGTGGACTTAACAACAACTCACTGTGGGAGTTTGGCCCAATGGCTCCACTTCTTGGATCTTCTGGAAAGGGAGCCTATCCTCCACCCAGATCAGTTGTGAGGAAACCCATTCATTTATTCATTCATGGAGGTTTACACTGTACCTGGTAACTCGGCGTAGGAGCAACCAACACATAAAAAAACCTTATGTCTCCTTATAGAAGACTTGAACCCAGAAAGAAAGGCAGGAAAAAAAGAATAAACGATTCTCACAGAATAAGTGCTAGGGAGAAGCAAAACAGAAGAAGCAAAGCTAAGAAGCAGCAGAAGAGGACTGAATCAAAACAGAGACCTTGGGAGGATCATCTGGAGAGAGTGGGGACAAGTGCAGCAGCAAGTGCAAAGGGCCTGGGGCAAGCATGCAAAGAATTAGGTCAGAGAGGTCAGCCAGCTGAGGACCCCAGCCAGGTTGTGGGTTTCACTCTGAGACCACTGGAAAGTTATTAAAGGGATTTGGACAGGGGAGGGAGGAGGCCAAATTTACATTTTGAAATGATCCCCAGCCAGCCAGTCCCAAGAAGGGGATGCAAGGGGGAAAGGACTACAGATGGCAGACAGGAGCCTGATCCTCAGGAAGCCCCATGGACACCTTTGGACACCCTGTGTCAGCCCCAAAGTTTGAGGTAGGATGGATGTGCTTCCCAGGACAGGCCCTGACGATTTTCCGGGGCAAACTTGGCTCGAGGGCCATGTCTTGCTGGAGCCTGGGATCGAAGTTGCGTTTGGGGCTTGGCCCAAGGCTCGCCGGAGGTCTTAGCGTCCGTGCGAAGGAGCCGGCAGAGCTGGCCAGCGCCAGGGAGGCGGGGGCGGCCGGGGGGCGGGGGGCCAGGGGGCCCGCCCTGGAGGTCCCAGGCAGCCAGCCGCCCGCTAATTCAGAATTCCTTTGGCATGAACTCGGGCGTGCCAGCGTCTCTGCCCTGGCCCACCCACTGTTTCCTGCCTGGGCCCCCCCACCAGGGTGGGATCAAGGCCAGGCCTGCCTGGACCCCAGACCCCCTTCTTATCCCTCAGGGGTAGGTCACGCCCCCTTGTGCTTCCCTCCTACTCACCACCAAGGTCTTATGAGGAAGGGGCCCCCTGGGGGGTCCTGGCTGAGGGCACTGCCCCTCTACACCACACCCCCCTGGTCTGGGCTGCCCAGGCCCGCCTGCCAGCAGCTGCAGCTGCCCTCAGGGGGCCAGGCAGGGGCCAGAGCGAGAGGGCAAGGCCAGGCGGGCCTGGGCAGGCCATTGCTTCCCCCAGCCCAGTAGGAGAGGTCAGATTGAGGCCTCTGTTCTAGGGTGCCAACTGGCTGGACCACCTGGGCATGCAGCCGCCCCTCTCTGTTCTGGTTTCTACTTCACAAATCAGGGAGGAGGAATACACTCTACCAGACAGCAAGGGGGGTCAGACATACAATGGCACCCAGGAGCTACTGGGATTACAGCCCCTCCCAGCGCTGGTGTCCCAGAGTTGAGGGGCAGGGGCTGCCTCCCGACTCCCTCCAGGCCTCTCCAAACAATGGGCTGGCGTTCGGGACCAGGATGCATAACATTCCAGGCCAGGAGCAGCAGCTGGGAAGAGCCCACTGAGGCTGGGGGCCCATGACCAGGTTTGGGGGGCCTCCTAGAGGGCTCCCCATAGTAGATCCCAGGGTTGGGCTTTCAGATGGCTCCCCTCCCCTTCACTCCCTGCCTCCCTGCCTTTCCTGCAGAGCTGGGGCCTTTAAAATTTTTTTTTCTTCCCCTTTTCCCAATCTGGAGCCACCGCAGTTATTAAAAAGGAACACCATGTGTTTTAAAAGGGAAAAGTGTGAGATTCCCTGCGAAGGAGTGGGGAGGGCAGTCAGGCCAACGGCCTCCATCCCAGGATCCCCACGGGGATCTCCATCTCTCTCCTGCTGGTACCTGCACACACTTTATGACCAACCCGCCTGCTGATCAGGTGCTAAGACACACGGTAAGTAGAAACATATTGCCGAGGTGTGAGAATCTTTAATTTCTTTTCCCTTAAAATAAACTAAAAAAAAAAATTCGCGCAACAACCACCCCCCAACTTTGCCTGTTGCTGTACTGGCTGGGAACAAAGCCTGGTTCTATGGTGGCACCCACAAGGCTGCTTACTGCCGCGCAGAAGGACCGGGCCAACCCCCTGCCAGGCTTCCAGCAAGTAACCCCAGGGTTTGCCTATCCAGTCATTTCTAGAAGGTGTTGGAGGGCACTGTCCGGGGTGGCCTGCGCCCCTGGACTGGGAAGGTCGTGGCCGGCTGTGCCAGCATTGTGCCCTGCGTTGCCTCCCTGCTTAATGAGCTGGTGTGACCACGAAAGTGTGTGTGCCAGGGATGGAATGTGTGCTCTGGAGATGGTGTGCGAATGTGCATCTGGGACGCAGTGTATGCGCCTTGGAGACTGAGGGTGACGGGCCACAAGCCCGTGTGAGTCTTTGTGTGTCTCTGGGTGTGTCCGGGAGAGGGTCTAGATGCGGAGACGCAGTCCTGGTGAGGGAATGTAAGTGCGCATCGGGTGGGCAGCCCGAGTACCACAGGCCGGAGCCCTGAGCCCTGGCACAGCAGGCAGGGGTCTCGAGCTGCTCGGATGTGGGTATCCGGGGGGCACCCCCTCCCCCAGATGGGCCCGCGATGCCCAGACTCGCTGGCTTCCACTCACTTACAAAGATTTTTCCCGCTGGAGGATCCCAGCTTGGCGTTGCCTCGCCGGGACGATTCTGAGAGCCGCCAGTGGCTGGGACTCCAGGAAACCCAGTGCGCGGGGTCCCGCACAGGGAGGGCGGCGCCGGACCCGCGGAGAGGCGCGTCCCCGGGGACCCCGGGCCGCGCGCCAGGCGGCCAGAGCGGCCCCCTCCCGCCCCGCCCTCCCCGCGGGGCTCATCCCTCTGCCCAGCGGGGGGGAGGGCGCTTGGAGCCCGCACCCAGAGCACCAAACGCGTGCGCCCCCGCCCGGGAGTGGCGCCTAAGGTCCTGGCGGCTCCGGGTGTGCGGACGTGTGCGCCCGCCGAGTTAGGAGCGTGCAGAGGGTCCCAGGCCGCAGCCCCCAGACTCTCGGGGCCTGGCGGAGCGTCCTCGGTCGGACAGCCCAGGTAAGGAGGCCTCGGGCGCGGAAGCCAGACTCTCGGGCAGGGGGCCTGTGGCGCCGTGCGCCCCGCAGGTGAAGACGCCCCGAGGGCCGCGCAGGGGGCGCCTTCCTTTGTTCCCGGCCGTCCAGGTGGCGCACGCGCCTCCTCCCCCTCTAGTTGCCCCTGGGGCGCCGGCTCCTGGACCAGAGGGAGGGTGGAGAGGGGCGCCGGGTACTCACGGGTTCTCGTTTCGGCTCGCTGTGCCCCGAGGACGCAAAGCAGCAGCAGCAGCAACAGCGGCGGCGGCCGCCGCGCGGA